TTATTAATGAGATCATAATGATCTCATTCACCATTTTATCTATGATAATCAGCATTTTTGATTCTTGAAAGTCTCTCTTTGGACTTGCTTTGGCTTTGACCTGAATCTGATCTCAGGTTCCTCTCTAAGATCAGCAAATGAACTTTGTTCAGACTGATCAGGTTCTTCCAGTGGTGTGAGTCTGTTTTGAAGAAAGACTGCTCCGTCTTCATTTCTCTGGCTGTTATCAGCTGTTTTGATTCCAGCCTGTCGCTGCTTCCTTCTCCTTGCAGGTGGAGAGAAAACATTTCTCTGTAACTCTGGCCATTCGTTGTCATCTAATTGCTGAATCCTTCCTGAGAGATTTTTTTGGTCTGGCACCAAGAGAGTTCCATACAGCTTTACCCTCAGAAGCAGCTTCCATCTCCTCGTCCAGTGGATCTCTCATCCCAGCCTTCTCACCCATTTGAACGCATGTTGAGTCCTCCAAAGCATTCATCTCTTCCAGACGATGAATCTTGAGCTCCAACACCGTCACCTTTTGGAAAAGCTGGCAGAAATCCTCTTTGAAAAAGAAAGGAGGCATCTTGAAGCTTTTCTGTACTCACACTCAGCAGATGATGTTTCAAAATCTTCTCAGGTTCTTCAACAGCCAAAAATAAAAATTCAATGTTCTCTGCTTATTCAAGATCATCCATCATGGTTGGTGGTCACCAAATTGTAGTAAAAATATACGTTGTTCAGTATTGTATGTCAGAATAAACAGGAATCCATCTGGATTTCTTTAAAAAAATTATTCTCAATCTTCTGACTCCAATTAGGTTCACAGTACAGCACTCAGCAGGCCTCAGTGTAAGACCTTGAGATAAAAAGCCAAACAAAACAGAGCACCTCTGCTCTGAGCAGAGACTCCACAACATTGACAACTTCTTTCTACTTTAATAATGAATTGACCTTATAATGTACATATCTTCCTGGTTACATCCCTGGAGGTGTTACCTTTTATGTCAGACATCATTTTTGTTTAGACTAAAGAAAGAACACATGATAAGACACACCAACTCTTTGTCTGCTTTATTAAAGACTGAAATGATCAGAAAGTATAAAATACAAAACTGTATCTAATATTCAATTAATCAGTTATAAAATTTCCTTCATGATAATAAATTTGTATTAATTTTACCCAGAACTGAGATAGTTTATGTTAGCCTGTTATTTTTGGGCTTTTAAAACTACAGGTGCTGGTCATAAAATTAGAATATCATGAAAAAGTAGATTTATTTCAGTAATTCCATTTAAAAAGTGAAACTTGTATATTATATTCATAC